TGGTCAACATGTCAATTTTCCCCAGAGTCAACAACAAATCAGGGACCATCACTAAGACCACATGTTTCCCCTGAACGGTGCACGTTCTGGAACAACACCAAGCAACTAGATCAAAAGCCACACTAGTGGAATCAACCACCATTGTACCCTGCTGAAAAACTTTTCCCCGACAGGACGGTGAAGCCGCCATCCGCTATGGCCAAGATATCTGGGCATGTACTGTGTAAGAGCTCAGTCAAGTTGACCATTGGATTACAAACAACGACACGGAAGCTGATGATAAATGCAACAATTATCGCACAGCGAACACCAACAAGTCGTGAAACACATTGTACTGTGAATAGTTTCGTTTACCGCCTCCTCGCCTTACAACCTCCATATCAACCTAAGGGTAGGGGAGGCGAAGGGGGGAAGGGGGGCAAGACAAATGAACACAAGTGGTTGATCTCAAGTTGCGGTGGGTTTGGTGTGGTGGCATCATGAAGGCCTAGATTTTGCTCATCAGCGGCAGCTGGCAACACAAAATGTACATGATGTGGTCGGTCCGTGTGAGAACCAAGCAGAGTCTTGTCTCCAACAAAGTCTCAAAGTCTCAGTCTCAACGAAAATGAAGAAAGCCGACGAATGGGGGGTCCCGTGACTGCTGAAATACGTAAGAGCGACAGGGACCTCGGTCGCTACATTGAGAAAAAAAAATTGAAAAGAAAAAAAAAGGAATATACATTAGCTACTTTGCCCCACAGTACCTTAATTATGCTACCTTTAGGTGGCTGATGATGATGACAGCCCGTACATTTGGCCATTAAACATGGAACTTGCATCCCAATCATGTAAAATGGGGGTAATGAAAACCTCCTTTCGATTCCGTGATGCAGATTCTGACAATGCACGGGACCGGCCCGCCTCTTCACCGTACGAATCCACCATCGCTCTTTTTTTTTTTTTTTCCTCTCCTCTTAATCCTTGGACAGGATTTTCAAAGACGCGGGGAAAATTTCAAAGACGCTAATACCGGATACGATGACGCGGGAAAATTCTCCACTTGGAGATCTTTGACATCTTTTTTGTTTGACCGCTGCCACATTTGTTGTTGCTTGTTTGATCCTAGGGGTTGTTTTTTGGGGTGGAAAACGGGATGGTTTATTCTCCCCCGGTACGTATATTTTAGACGCTGGGCCAAAAGAGAGATTTCTGCTGTCCTCGTGGTTTTGTAACCTTGCATCCTTGTATCCCCGGACGGGCTGGGCATTGGGACACGCCTTGGTCACGGGTTCACAGTTTAGGATTGCTGTGGACAAGTTTTTTTCAGGGCCTGCAGTTCATCCCTGCCAAGAAACCAGAAAAAGTCAACCGGGATGCATCTAGCCAAGTCTATGGAGCGTCTGGGGAAAGACGACGCCGAGCATTGCCCCGCGGAAGCCCCGCTAGTAGACCGACAAACCTTTTTTTTTTTTTTTTTTTTTTGGTTGAGATCTGGTTTTATACTATACTAAATTAAAAAAAGATGAAGATCATCTGATTTCCTACCCCCTTTGTTTGCTGATTGAGTTATTCCTCTCTCGCTTCTCGCTATCGGGATGATGAGAGTAAGGTCAGCTGTTATGAATTCTCTCTTTCGGGTTCCTCGGCGGCGGCCTCACGGGAGGTTCGAATCATTTGGCGGAAATTTTTGTTGAGCAAGTTCCACAAGCAAGCATGGGAATCTGGCATTCGTTCCTCATCAACCTGAACATGCCTGTATCGTTGACAATGATGATCACGCCAATAATAAGCACATCTTTCCGGGGCACTCATAGCACATCATGGCATTACCTCACAACTCTCATTTCGGGAATTGCCAAGATCACGACACGGCACCCATGCGGAGTCGTCATCCCGATCATTGGCCGGATCGGATGCGGGGGAGGGTCCGCGCGGCAGCCCCGGGCCCATGAACGGTGCGGATCCCGGGAGGCCGGATAATCTGAGGTCAGGAGATGTTGTGATATTTTCTTGTTGATGCCCTTGATGGTGCAATTCTCGCAGCGGAATATGCAAGCCACTTACAAAATTATCCACGACACCCATTCTTCATTCCTTTGTATCTTCGGGTACCCTTGTTGAAGCCTCCGAGCTGGTAGAGTGACGAGAATTTTCTTCCCCATCGACCTGCCGGATCTGGTCACAACGTGCGTACAACTCAGCCATATTTCTTTTATTCACACCGAATTATCCAGCTTCTTTCAATGGACTCGTTTCTTTCTCTTGTGAAACATGTCTGTTATCGTCGAAATTAGAAAAACCTTCGTTGAGGTTGCCATTGGTTGGGCCATCTGCACAATCACCGCATTTCCCCCAAATTGTCCCAAAAATAAATATGTAAATTTGTTTGTGAAAATTGAGTGCCGGTCATCACAAGACCGCCGGACCATAACTCACGGCGCAGAATCAACGATACCAATGTGAGGGGAGAAAAAGATATCACGCTCCGAGATGAGGATACACCGACGTTCTATCTAGCGTACAGGCTCCCTAACGTCAAACGCGGAGCTAAGTGACAGACACAGAAGGCCGGAGTTTGTGTGCTGTCTTGGCAGGCACACTGAGTGACATTTTGGGGGAGGTGAGGTGTCAGCGGCCTTTGGGAATCGAACCAAATACGGTATACGTATTACCTCAGTGCAACCAGGAATCGAATGTTCCATCTGGCTTCTCCCCCGAGTCCCCAACTCCCGCTGGTTGCCGCATGTCTCCACTCCTCGGCGAGCGGCAAAGCGGCACAAGAAACTGTCGTCTCGGCTTGCCCCTCTCTTTCAGAACTCCTGGCCGATGGAGGGGTAGAGTCAAGTTGAGTTTGTTGGTGGGGTAATCAGTTGGTTGTTTCTCTCTTTCCACTCCCCCTCCACAACAGCTATCATTCAGAGGCCAACTCTCTCATCGTTGTCGTTTGGTAAGTCAATCATCAAAGATGGCGCTTTGAGAGAATTGTGTTGGTTTCATAATAACTAATGGGTTCGTTCTTCAGCCTCTAATTAGTTGACAATACGATTCATGCAGAGAAATTGAGCTTCCATCCACAAGAACATATTTTCCCCCTCGCAGTCCCTAGAGACCCAGATCGTTCCATAACTTACACTCCCAAGTGTCACGCGATATCTACCGCTCCTGAAGACTTGATAAACATGTCCTACACTTTCGTTGCTCCCGAAGCCGTAGAACGAGCTGCACAGCTCGACAAGGACGATGCTCTCGCGTTTACCCGCAGCGAGTTCAACATCCCGACAAAAGCTCAACTCGTGAGCACGCGTTTGCCCGATTCGTCAGGTTTGTGACATCATCAACCACTCGACATTTTAGGAAACTAGGGGGCTAATCTCGTCTTTACGCCCTGTACCAGTCTCGCAAGAAAACACCGAAAAATGCATCTACCTCTGTGGTAACTCCCTAGGCCTCCAACCTCAGCGAACACAAACGCGCATCCAACAATACCTCTCAACCTGGCAAACCCAAGGAGTTCAAGGGCATTTCAAGCCCCTTGAGAACTCACCTCTCCCAACATGGCTCGACGCCGATGACCGTGCAGCCCAGCTGATCGCCCCCATCGTGGGCGCCTCAGCCTCCGAGGTAGCGGTGATGCAGACCCTTACAGCCAACCTCCACCTCCTCATGTCCGCGTTCTACAAACCAGACATCAACGGCCGCCATAAAATCATACTGGAAAGCAAGGCCTTCCCCTCTGATCACGTACGTTTCCATCCTTCCTGTTTCCCCCGTTACGCCCCTTTCTTTCTTACTAATTTTTTTTCTTTCTTTTTCGACAGTTCGCAGTCGAAACCCAACTCCGTCATCACAACCTATCCCCCTCCACCTCAATGATCATTCTTTCCTCCTCGACGAGCGAGGACAACATCCTCACCACCCAAGAAATCCTCTCCGCCATAGAAACTCACGCAGACACCACCGCGCTCCTTCTCCTTCCCGGAGTCCAGTACTACACGGGTCAGCTCCTCGACATCCCCACCATAACTTCCTTCGCACGCTCAAAGGGCATTTTCGTAATCTGGGATCTGGCCCACGCGGCAGGCAACGTTCCTCTGTCTCTACACGACTGGGACGTGGACGCGGCGGCGTGGTGCTCGTATAAATACCTGAACGGGGGTCCCGGCTGCATAGCAGGCATGTTTGTGCACGAACGAAACTCGGCCGTGCCCAGCCCTCCCTCCGATGAGTATCATAACCGTCTGGCGGGGTGGTGGGGGAACGAGAAAAAGACGAGGTTCCAGATGGTCAACCACTTCCACCCTGTGAAAGGAGCAGCCGGGTTTCAGCTGAGCAACCCGTCCATTTTGGACATCACGAGCATCTCAGCTTCGCTGGAGGTGTTTGGTCTGGTCCCCGGAGGAATGAAAGGATTGAGGGAAAAGAGTTTGAGGCTAACAAAATTCTTGGAGGAGCTCTTGGATGCCATGCCCGAGGGGGAGAGACAACTCTTCAGGATCATTACTCCCAGGGACGAAGCGCAGAGGGGTGCGCAGCTGAGTTTGATGTTGCGGGAGGGACTGCTGGAGGGCGTTATGGATGAGCTGGAAAAGGTGGGGATAGTGATTGATGAGAGGCGGCCGAATGTGGTCAGGGTCGCGCCGGCACCGTTGTATAATTCTTGGGGAGATGTGGTTGAGTTTGTTGAGGGTTTCGGGAGGGCACTGAGGGTAGTTGGTGGGAAGAAGTAGGGATGGAAGGTTAGTGTATATATGAAATGGATGTATTTGAGTGATAAATGTTTTTCTCCAAGTGAACGTGAGTAATGATGGAATCCTGAATCTTTTTTAAAAAAAAAAATTTCCCAATTTTTTTCAAGCAAGTAATCAGGGTGTTGTGAGTAGTAATGGGGAATAATATTTAAATAATGTACATATTCTGTTATGTTTATACATACATAAATACATAACATATATAGACTGTCGTTTCTGGAATTGAATCTCAACAAAAATTACAAACAGAAAAAAAACCAAAAAAAAACAGCCCGGCTAGCGCAATGGTAGCGCGTAAGACTTCTAAAGTTTCTTTGATTCATGAAAAAAATGAAAAAATATATGAAGAGAAGGGTTTAGTAAAAAGTAATCTTAAGGCTGCGGGTTCGAATCCCGCGTCGGGTTTTTTTTTTAGTTCTGAAAAGAAAAAATGCTTATGAATATATTTTTAATTTTTTTCATCTGATATCATTGTGGAAATTGTTTTGGTTTTTTTTTCTGGGGGGGGGGGGGGGGCAAAAAAAAAAAAAAAACAAATTAAAAAAAAAAAGAATGTGAAATTTTTTTTTTGGTATAAAGTTGTGGTTATTTCGTTGGTAAGAATATATATTTTATTGTTTTGTTTGGAGCGA